CACACACGCACACACACACACACAGCAGATAACAATGCAAAGAAAACCAATTCTTGAAGACAGTCTGGGCCTTTCCATCCAGTGGAGTCGCGACGAGGGAGGCATTGTTTTCAGCTCCTTCTGGGTCAGGGCATGGGGCCCTGCGTTTACGTGGTGTCGGGTTTGCGAAGTTTACGGTCGCAGGATTTAGAAAGCTTGCAGCGTGTGGTAGTGATTAAGTGTGTAATGCTTTGTCGCTGTGATTGTGGCTGTGGCCGTGGTGGTTGCTGTTGCAGTTGCAGTTGCTGTTGCTGATGTTGTTGTTGTTGTTGCTGCTGCTGGTGATGGCGGTGTTCTTGTTACTGCTGTTGCTCCTGCTCTTGCTCTTGCAGTTGTTACAGGTGTTGTTGTGATTGCGTGGTTGTGGTTGTAGGGGGGTTGTGGCTGCGTTTGGGGCGTTTGCGGTTGCGGTTGTTGTTGTTGTTGTTGTTGCTGGTGCTGGTGCTGCAGCTGTTGCTATCGTTGTTATGGTTGTGGTTGTGGTTGTTGTCGTAGTTGTCGTTGTTGCTGCTGTTGTGCTAATAGGAGACTTTGGAGGATGCATGAGTAATTATTCGAGGAACAATGTTTGAGTACAGACTCTAAGTGCAGAAAGATCTGCTGTGGCTTGCCATTTCTACCAGTGTAAAGTCATGACGACATGTAAATGGTCGAGTCGAATGCTTATTTACACACGCCACAACAGTCCTTGCTGTAACGGTACAGGGATAAAGTTTGGTTAGCACAAGTTAGTTACGTCTTTCAGAGAGACCATGTGAGAGTTGTTCTGCTCCCAAGCTCCAGGAGATTCTGAGATCGCATGCTGTTGTGGTCACTTCGGGGGCTGCGCAAGCAAACTCAGAGTAGGCAAACCCCAAGACCACAGAGATAAAAAAAACAAAAAAAAAAACACTTAACACCGTAAACTTGTGAACCCTGAATCGGTATAGAACCCTAACAGCGGATCGAGCCGTAGAGGACAAAGAACTCCAAACTAAACACCCTAAGGTCAGAACGCACAACCCTATTAAACCCTAAACCCTAAACCCTAAACCCCCAAACTCAAGGCCTTGCCTCCGCTGTTGCATTGGCTGCAGTCTGCAGGTGAGGCCGCGAAACGATCATGTAGAGGGCTGAATGAGCTACGCAAAGTTGGGTGACGGGGCGCTTTGTGCCAATCGCAAAACCAAAGCCCCCAACATCCCGCAAAGACCCAACAAAGTTCTCTGCAAAATGCATGGCTTGATTTAGGACTCGTTGGCCCTCCATGGGCCCTAAACATCTGAGCCGCATGAATCCCTGATCTTAACTCTCAACAATTGTCAAACACGGTAAAGTTCAGGGTATAGGGCTTGGGGGTGTTGGGGCTCCCCCTTCCTAAAACCTTCTCAAACCTCTTCTTAAAAACTGTCCTCCATGCTCGGACCTTTCCAGGTCTGCAAGCGACCCAGGACGCGGCCGCGGGGAGGCGTCGTTGGTGGAGGCGTGTACCCGACCTCTACCGCTCTGCTTTATATTTTCAAAACAATAATTGCAGTGCTACTCTGAATATATGCTGTTGTCATTTTCTGGTTCTAACAGGGCTTCTTATTCTTCGGATTCTTGGTTTTGGGTATTTGGTGTTCTACATTATTCAAAGGGGGTATAGGGCTGCAGGGTCTCACGGCTTTAAACTTGCAGGGCTGGCAGGGCCTAGGTTATAGGGGCTTTGCGCTTACGGTCTAGTGCTGCTTAGGGTTACAGGAATTATGGTGGAGTTTTATGGGTCGTCAGGGTAACCCTTCGGATCCCACGGACGACAAACTTAGCTTTGTCGCTTTAAGATGTTTTTCTCCTTGGTGGCCTTGGGAAGCAACGACAACCACGCCCTCTCAAAACATGCTTAGCAACGACCCCGAAACCAAATGCCAGCCTTTTGGTGACTCTACCTGTCCTAAACCTTAAACCCCTAAACATCCTAAACCCTAAACCCCTAAACTTCCTAAACCCTAAACCCCTAAACTTCCTAAGCCCTAAACCCCCAAACTTCCTAAAAGGCCCGCGGTTCTAAGAGCCGCCTCGAAGACATCGGGGACCTGGCGATCGCGAGGAGGGGTCCGAGGATGACTGGCGTCCTTTGGCTCAGGGCGGCTCAGGAGGGCTTTCGTCCGGGGCCTCCCAAAAAGGGTTGAGGGTTTAGGGTTTAGGGCTTAGGGCTTGGGGTTTAGGGCTTGGGGCTTAGGGTTTAGGGCTTGGGGTGTAGAGTTTATAGGGCTTAGGGTTTAGGGCTTAGGGTTTGGAGTTTATAGGGCTTAGGGTTTCTACACAGGAGCTGCTATGAACGAGGATGCTCGGAGTTCTGATTCTTTTCAAAGGGTGTCGGGTTTGAAGACGTCCGATAAAATCCTGGAACATCTAGTTATAGAAAACTACAGGTGGGGAGTTTAGGGTATATAGGGCTTCTATAAGGCTTCCATAGGGTATATAGACCTTCTATAAGGCTCCTATAACGGTAACTACCCACCTGAAAATGTCCCAGATCTAGACAAAACCCAAACCTCAAGTCTTATCCCCAAACCCTGCAAGGCTAAACGCTCCATTTCTCGGCTGTGACAGAAGTACTGAGCGCAAAGGTCTCCGACCCCGTACAAGCTCCCAAACGCGTTTCTATGGCTAAGTTAAGGCACTTGGGGGTGCGGGCAGGGGGGTGCTGGGAATCCCTGATGAATCTCAAAGTTCAACGTTGCGTGGCTTCAGGTCGCAGAGTTGAGGTATTCATAATCCAGCTCGATGGCTCTGCAGGCAGCACGTCCCTCAATGCCGTCATCATCATCACCACCAACGCCCTCCAAAAGAAGACCCAGACGTTGGCGAAGCTAGACGACCCGACCGGCCGCGTTGGACGACCCGCATGGGAAAAAGGATCAGAGCCTGGCCCAAAGGCCTAGACGGTCTCACAGTTTCAAACAATGGCGACGAACTAGGCGTCCATGTCCCAAGGACCACCCCTACCGGAGGAAAGGCGTGGATTGGACCGGCAATCGAGCGGGTGGAGAAATCGTCCCATTGATCTTCAGCTTACACCATTTCCTGATCTGACTCAAACGAAGCAGACATGGCTTATGCATACATCGGTAACCCTAAACCCTGTTTTCATCGAAGACTCTATGGCCTAAACCTGCTCCACGCCCAATAAGCACGTTGCAAACATCTTAAAACACCGAAGTTCACCAAGTTTTTAGCATTCCCTTTGAACCAGCGCTGCACCTTAACGGAGGGGTGCCTTTAAGCATATAAGGGTCTATCTTATAGGGCTGGCAGGGCTTGTCACCTTTATTGGGGGCCGTCTTTATAAAGAGTTCCTATCGAGGCATGGAAGCCTTACTCTAATTATTGATGGCCCCGGCGAAACTGCACAGAACCGGGAAAATGCCCTCTGCAATAAAACGGGAAGAGCCCCTAAACCCTAAACCCTAAACCCAGAGATGATTCAGACCCCGCTGAGCCGGGAAGAGCCGGGGCTGCCACGACCTCGACTTCCTGGAACAGGGCAGGCCTTGGATGTCGCAACCCTACCCACGACCCCTGACCAGAGCCAACCTTTAGAAGAAAACGGGACCCTGAGATGGCCCTGAAACGTAAGCCCCGACACATCTACTGCCCTGAACCCCTACTCCCTAAACCTAGAGGGTTCAGGTTTAGGGTTTAGGGGTTTAGTGTTTAGGGTTAAACCCCCGCACCCGCAACCCCCAAAACCTAAGGGCCCCACAACCCCCCCACAACTTAAGCCCCTGAGGCCCCCATCCCAGCTTCCAATCCCGAAGCCCCTAAAATCCCCACACATCCCAAACCCCGCGCGCCGCAAACTAAAAACCTGGACCTCTCTCAAACGCATAGTGCCTGTAGTCTCCATCCTCGACCTCCACTCTCCACTGGGTTTAGGGTTTAGGGTTTAGGGTTTGGGGTTTAGGGTTTAGGGTTTCGGCTTTAGGGTTTGGGGTTTAGGGTTTAGGGTTTAGGGTTCTCGCAACTGCCGACGAAAAGCTTCTTCAGCGCCGTCTCCAGGCGTTTGATCTTCGCCTTGCCAACGATGGAGCTTGAGGAATACATAGCACGCATGATCATGACCAATGCTGCTCCTCGAGAGTTGTTTGGGGTTTAGGGTTCTACTGTTTCGTCCACAGGTTCCTATACTATAAGGTTCTAAACGCAGCTGCTGTGAGGGGGCAGGCTTAGGGTTTGGAATTGAGGGTTTGGTGTCTACGGCTTGAGAGTTTTAGAGGTTGCGGGGCTGCAGAGTTATTATTTCAGGGCTTGGGGCAGGGCGTTTAGGCTGTAAGGTTTTCATGTTTAAGAGAACTGATATAGATATGTGTTCTGGCATTTTGGGAGTGCTGACCTGACGAAACCTGAGATCGTTTCAGAAATTAGGCTCTGACCATCTTCTGTTGCCCAGCGTGCCTTGGCGATTTGCTGCGGCTTTAGCTGTTGCCGTGATTCAATCCTCATCGGACGTGTATTTAGCAAGGCGACATCAGCAGTATGATGGCCACATTGCGGTCGCTACTACTACTGGGCTGTTGTCCTATCAACTGCTGTTTATGTCGAAGCCTAAATCATTACCATTACTATTCTTAGGGTTCCTTCTTATAAAACTATACTACAAAGGAGCCCCAAACCTTACTCTAACTATTAAGGCCCCTATAGTAAGCATTGAGCGTACTGCCTGACATTCCTTCGAAAACCATTTGCCTGGTCGTCGCCGCAGCGCCGCCTGAGGTCCGCCTCCTCATAGACCTGGCAGGCAAGTCCATGGTTTAGGTTACATACAGGTCTAGGGTTTAGTAGGCCTCAGATGAGGGAGAGGGGTTTAGGTTACACACCGGCTTTGCTTTTGTTTAAAGCTCCTTTTAACTTTTCCATCTGCAGAGTCTGCAGTTCAAAGGCCCGGGTTTGGGGTTTAGGGTTTAGTAGGCTTCAGATAAGGGAGAGGGGTTTAGGACCGTTTAGAGTTTAGGGAAAAGTAGAACCGAGGGTTTGATATGGATTTTCCAGCATGTTCTACGGGCTTGAGAGGGGTGGCACAACCAGTTTTAAGGGAGGGTTTGTAAATTCCATGGTTTTCCGCGATTTCTGCAGGGTGTTGTTCGGGTTTGTGGCCAAGCGACTTACTGTGACCAGTGCGGGCGTAGTGCCTGGAAGGTGGTTGTATGGTAAGGTCTTGAAGAACACCTAACCTAAGACCTGGCAACAAACCTTTTAGAGTTTAGGCTCACGACTATTCGTTTCTGGTCTTTGGGAGTAGGGCTTAGGAATCGGGGTTTACGGTTTAGACTCATCCTTCTGCTCCTTAAAAAGGGGACGTAGAACTCCTCTCACCGTCTGAATCGCAAGCTGTCCCAGGAGAAAAGACAACTCTGACAACCAAGACAGCAGACTTTAGAAGCCGTGAGGCAGAGCCACAAAACCGGCCTCTACTGTCTTGTCTTGGGGACAAGCAACCGGTCCATACCAAAAAGAGTCTTCGTGATCACCACGTATAGACATGATCACCACCGTTACCACACTCACTCCCATCTCTGTCGCTGTTAAGGCCAGCCCTTCTGTGGTCACGTGCATCATCACTCCCATCACCATCACGATCGGCACGGTTACTGCCATGACCTCAGCCACCATCCCCCGCATCACCACTACTACCAACACAATAACTAGAACGGAATCCTCTGGGCACGACTCGCCACACTCCACATATACAGTGTATATAACTATGAATACGTGTACATCCGGTGATCTGGTAAAGGTCAAGTCTTACTTGAAGCCTCAAAGTGGAGCACACACATAATCGTGTCTACCTGCTCTACAGTTGAACCCATGAGGGTATAGTATGGGCCCTTAATCCTGGGACCCTTATATACCTACTATATACCCTATATGTACCCTTCAGGGACCCTAGAACCCACTAAGGGTCCATATTAGGGGCCCGCACTTCTAACTCTAAACCCTAAACCCTCAACCCTAGACCCTAAACCCTAAACCCTAGACCCTAAACCCTAAACCCGAAAACCTAAAAGACCTGCAGGCTTATCCCACATTATCCCTCGGAGGTCCCTCGCGCTGCTTCGGCCGAGGCCTGGTGAAGCTTCAAGTTGAGGCCCAGGTGCGGGTGGCTGAGAACCTGTGAAAACAACAGAGGCGTTTTAGGGTTAGGGTGTAGGGGTTTAGGTTTAAGGTTTAGGGGTTTGGGTTTGGGGTTTAGGGGTTTAGGTTTAGGGTTTAGGGGTTTAGGGTTTAGGGTATTAGGGGCGGGCGTAATTGAGAGACATGATCAATACGGGAGTTTCCGAGAACAAGGGGTACCTTATTTTGGGGCTCCTTATGATAAGGATCTTACTACTTGGGGTACTATATTAGGGTCCCCTATCTTCGGCAACCCCCCAAATGTTCTTGTTGAGGAACATCTTTTGAGTTACTACACTAGCGAAATCTGGCAAGTGACATGCTTGGGTTGCTATGGTGAGCACCAAAAGCAAAATACTGCGACGGGGACATTGATGACGATGGTGATGGTGACGCTGACCATAGCGGTGATGAGTCAGAGTCAGATATGTTTCGCTGTCCTGGTTGATTATTCGGATACTAAAGTTATGTGAGTTTCATACTTGTACTACTGTTGATGGACAAAATCCTGCATGACCCAAATATAGTATAGCACCATAAATCCCATAGTTTAGGTATATAAGGTCATGCAGGATTTTGTCCATCTACAGTATGGCTGTCATCTCCTTCATCAGGGTGTGGGGGTTGGCGGGTGGGGGTGCCGGGAGGGGTGGGGGGGTCCTCAACAGCGCAAGGGCACAGGTGGCAAACTCCGAATGCATTCAGGAAGACCGGACACCTCCCAAAATGCAGGTCCCATGGAGCTTCTGTACTATGAGCCCTAAACCGAGTTCGAACCTAAACGAGCCTAAAACCCCCCAACCCAAAAACTCTAAACCTTATCAAACCGTTCTGCCGTATCACAGGACTCCTTCAACCTTGCTGGACCTAACTTCCATGGCTGTTAGGCCCTCAAACCTCAACTTTCTTCAAGCCCCTCATTCTGAGGTGCTTCTAATAAGCATGAAAGGTACCGACAAAATCTCTGTTGAAGTCTTATGAGAGACCAAACTTCTTGGTGGTACCTTCAAGAAGAAGAACCCTAAACCCTATAAACCCTGAACCCTAAACCCCTAAACCCCTAAACCCCTAAACCCTAAACCCTAAACCCCTACCCCTAAACCCTAAACCCCAACCCCTAACCCCTAAGCCCTAAGCCCTAAACCCTAAAGCAAATGCTTCCTCGACCCCAAGTCCCAAACCCTCGTTACCCAAATTCCAGACCCCTGTGGCTGCCGGCCCCCAGGCCCTAGAGCCTAAGCCCTGATATCACGGTTTAGGGTTTAGGGTTTAGGGTGAAGGTTTGGGGTTTAGGGTTTAGGGTCTAGTGTTACATTGAATAGGGCTTTGGGGTCTAGGGTTATAGGCTTGAGGGTTTAGGGTTTAGGGCTTTGGGGTCGGTATATTATATTATAATCATAGCAAGGAATCCTATATTACGCCCTAACAGCCCAAAACCCCTGACCCCAGATACCTCAACACCCGAATCCTGCATCAAAAAATACCAAGGCCCCTAAACCCTAAACCCTAAGCCCGACACGTCCGAAAGCCATGAACCCATGAGCCCCATGGTGCCCTGAACCCCAGACCCTAACAAAGCGGCCTCAACAATTACCAAGAGTAAATTGAGGGCTTCTTATTGAAATGTACTTATTGTATAATATACCCCAAAACCCTATTCTAACTATAATTATAGTATAACTTACCCCAAAACCCTATTCTAATTATGCACGTAACTATGCATATAGTATAATATACCCCCCAAAACCCTATTCCAATTACAAATATAGTATAATATACCCCAAAACCCTATTGAAATTATTAAGGCCCCTATAAAAATAAAAATTAAAAATAAATCCAGGGAGACCTCGAAGCGGCGCTCGTGCAACTTCTCGGGGGCCGGCGGCTGCTTTTCTCTGATGCGCCGATCGCAGGAAGCCTGGGTTTTAGGGCTCAGGGCTTTCAGGTTCAGAGGTTTTCCAAGGCTCATGATAGGGTTTTGGGGCTCAGGCCTTTCAGGTGTTGAGGTTTTCTAAGGCTTATGATAGGGTTTCAGGGCTCAGGGCTTTCAGGTTTAGAGGATTTCTAAGGCTTATGATAGGGTTTAAGGCTTTCAGGGCTTTCAGCTTCAGAGGTTTTCTAAGGCTTGTGATAGGGTTTCAGGGCTCAGGGCTTTCAGGGTTCTACGGTTTAGAGGTTTATAAGGCTTACAATAGGGTTTCAGGGCTCAGGGCTTTCCAAGGTTGTTGGTTAAGGTCTTGCGGGGTTCTACGGTTTAGAGGTTGTCTAAGGCTCATGATAGGATTTGAGGTAAGGTTGGTGCTTAAGGTCTAAGGTTTGGGTTTTGTGGTTTAGGTAGGGTTTACGGATTTGGTCTGTAGGATTGAGGTCCAAGGCTTAGGGTTTAGGGTGCCCCACTACACCCCTCGACACCTCTTGTAAAGAAGCTCTACCCTAAACCCTAAACCCTAAACCCTAAACCCCTAAACCCCAAACCCTAAACCCGTCGAACCCTGGTATGACAACTCTACAGGGCCATAGTTGCTTTCTTCCGAAATCGCAGGACAGCCGAGCAAGCTACTTCTGCAACAGCTCAGGGTGTAGAAACGGGCATGAAATGATAGAACAAAACACGACATACCTTGTACATGCGCCAGAATGAAGTAAAGTCATATCGTACTGTGATCTGAGTTGATGTAGAATAACATGCGAAATACCCACATTGGACTGCTAAGTGTTGGTCACACTGTAGCAAACAAGGAGAGAACATCGTGGGCAATGAGCGCCAAAACAACAACAAGGACACCAACGACAACACAGATATCATCGTTGGCAGCAACTGCAGCAGCAGCAGCAGCAGCAGCAGCAGCAGCAGCAGCAGCAGCAGCAGCAGCAGAGCAGCAGGGCAGCAGACTCTGTGCCGGCAGCGTCTGATCATGGAAGTGGACCCTAAATCCAAAGGACGAGGCTTAATTCAAAACTCGGAAGGCCTGAACCCTGAAACTCGCCCAAACCCGTGAATCCTGAACCCTGTCTACACCCTCAAGCAAAAGATATACCAAACCCTAAACAGTAATGTAGGGGCCTTAACAATTGGAATAGGGTTTTGGGGGTTCCTTATTATGATTATGGTCTAATATACCCCAAAGCCCTATTCCAAGTATAAAAGCGCTCTACATTAGCTGTAGTAAAGCAGACCCCTAAGGCTCCATGTACTCATATAGTAGATACTTAGGCCTTAAAGTACCTATTTTGGGACCCCTTTAAGGCCTAAGTATCTACTATAAAGGTACATGGAGCCTTTGGGGACCAGAAGATTCTCCCAAGAAGCGATCTTGCTGGCTTTTTGAGACGGCGACGTCGGAGGGGTTTCAGGGCTGCCACGCTTGCCTGGGCTTCTTCCTGCCCTCTTCATGGGCCGACAAGGCGTGTTTGCTGGACCTAAAGTTTGATACGTTTAGGGTGTAGGGCTCAGGGTTTTGAGGTTTTGGGTTCCAGCTGGGGGAAAACTTGTTTTAGGGTGCAAGGGTTTTAGATTTTCGGGTTCAGGTTGGGTTTTTAATTCCTTTTGTTTTGGGCTTACGGTGTAGGGCCTGGAGCACCCAAGGGTTTTCACCCTAATCTACTGGGGCCTTGATAATTTGAATAGGGTTTGTCCTACCCTTCACATCTTGCTTTTGTGTGCGGGAGTACCTGACAATAGCAGCGGTATGATCGCAAGTACTTCTGGGGCGAGTCTATAAGTTAGGACCCTAAACCCTAAACCCTAAACCGTGGCTCCACCTACCTAAGAAAGCCCCCCATGTAGCCAGGCATGCTTTGAGCCAAAGCTTTCCGAAGGATCCACTCAAACACATTCGGTTTAGGGTGTAGGGTTTAGGGTTATTCATAAAAGGGCGTGAACAATTCGCATAGAGCTCACCCAAATCCCCACTCCGTCAATCCCCAAACCCGACACTCCTGGACAACAACACCGAAAACCTATCTCCAATGAAAACTGATATCTGAATCCCAACCTGCCGGAAGCCCAGGAAAACACACAAACTGGCTTCTGGAGTGTTTATCATGTGGGAACTACCCTCGGATGATGAAAAGAAGGATTCAGGGTTTAGGGTTCAGGGTTGAGGGTGAGATGTCACTAGACATCTTATGACTTGAGGGACTACCCTCAGTCCTCTTTAAGTTGTGGCTTGGGGTTTAGGGTTCAGCGTTGCACGGGTTACGTCTACAGTTGGTTCTGAGGGCAGCGGGTCCAAGGGGGGGTCTATTAGACCTAGGGTTGATGATATCAACCCTGAATTACCCATAATAAGGAACATACCATCCATAATAAGGAACATACCATAATTCCATATTTTAAACACCATCGTGACAGAGTGTCATGTAATGAGATATGTAACACCGAAACACCTGCGATCGAAAGGTCCCGAAGCCTATAAAAGCACTCACCGCCGAACCACAAAGAGCCTCGGAGATCAACTTCACTTCGCCAATAAGTCACGGTTGAGCGTTTAGGGTTTAGGGTTTAGGGCCAATAACAGACAAGAAAGGTTTAACTGTCTGAAAGAATACCATGTCAGATGAACCCAGAAACATTTGCGGCTTGGGAGTTGGCAAGCAACCCAAGAATCCCAAGCTCGACAACACTCGTAGGGGGCTTTATGGTTAAACTCGGGTTGTTATGGGGTCAGCATATCCAGTAGTGCACGTATAGTAGGAACCCTCAGGAACAGTATATAAAATTGTTCAGGCCCCTCTTGTAACGCATTCCGTGAGCCTTCTCCTTGGCACCGCTTACCAAATCAGAGCAGACTTTCTCCAGAGCCCGGACCTCTTTACTTACAAGGGCTTTTCGGGTTTAGGGTAGCTCGGGGCTTTTTAGGTTTAGGGTACTTCAGGGTTTAGGGGCTTCGCATGAGGGGCTTTGTTTGGTCTTCATGACGCTTCACTGCAGGCTTATATGGTGTAGGGTTGGTGAAGGCTGAGCGCTCATTAAAATGTTCTTGTAGCATCCTAGGTTCCTTATTATACTTGTGGTATAATGGGCCCCAAAACCCTAATTATGGTATAATGGGCCCCAAAACCCTATTGTAATTCTTCAGGGTAGAATTCATACAGCACCTCCCCCTGCATCGTTTCATTCAGGAGCCGCAAGGGCTAATCAGCTCCTCCTAACCTACCTATAGTATCCTTTGTAGTTCCTTTCTGGGGTTACCTTATTATGGGATCCTAACTATAACATTGGTTAAACAGAAACAAGGAACTACAATGGAAACTATGGGTAGTGCTATGGATACGAAGTTTCTTCAAATTTGGGGGCCGCTCACTTACAGATACTCGTGATAGGGATCCTGCCTTTTGCGGCTCATAGCAGGGTCCCTGCTGCATGAAAACTCCCAGGTTCTGAACCCCAAGACCCACTCTAGGAGTTAGGCGGATAGAAAGAGCACTTCGAAGCGTATCGGCTCATTTTTGTTGGGGTTTAGGGGTTTAGGGTTTAGGGTTTAGGGGTTTAAGGTTCAGGGGTTTAGGGGGGTGCATTGGCAACTAAACCAGAGGAAACTATTATCACCAGCATCGACGAAAAGGACACCCGAATATAGACACCCATACACCCACGTGTCAACATGCCTGATCAGAACGGTATACCCTCTCAAATGCTCCCCAAGCTTCTGTGATGGCTCCAACTGTTCAACTTGGAATGCAGAATTGAAAGATGCAAGGACCGATTTCAAACGAATGCTTCTCGAAACTCCAAACACACCATGCTCCATCCGAGAATGCTTCAGCTCGACCTGCAAACCCCTATCCGCCCTCGCCTGTGGCAGCTAGCAAAACCTTCTCAGGGTCCTCATGAGAGTTTACGGTGCGCGCAGCACCTGTTTAGGTTGGTTGGGACTTCTTGGAGTACCACTAATGTAGGGGCCTTAATAATTTGAATAGGTTTTTTTTGGGGAGGGGGTCCTTATCATAATCATAGTATAAGATACCCCCCCCCCCTACACCCTATTCTAATTGTGAAGGCCCCTATATTACCCCTATAATGTTAATAAGCTTAGGCCCTAACTGCGAAACCATTCAAACCCTAAACCCTAAACCCTAAACCCTAAACTCTAAACCCTAAACCCTAAACCCAAGACCCTTCAAACCTATACCCGGGGCGAAGCTTAGGGTTCTGGGACCCCGGGTCGTTCTCTTAGAGCCGAAGACCAAAACCTTCAGCAACTTCCCAAAAACGCGATTTAGGGTTTCGGGTTTAGGGTTTGGGGCTTAGGGCTTAGGGCTTTGGGGTTTAGGGCTTTGGGCTTAGGGTTTAAGGCTTTGGGTTTAGGGCTTCGGGTTTAGGGCTTTGGGTTTAGGGCTTTGGGTTTAAGGCTTTGGGCTTCGGGTTTAGGGTTTAGGGCTTTGGGTTTAGAGTTTAGGGCTTAGGGCTGAGGGTTGAAGCCTACCACCCTAGAGCCCTACACGCTGGGCCATGCGCATCCCGACTGCTCAAGGTGATGCGGATCCGATGGAGACCTGTGCTAAAGGGCCCTAGAGCAGGGCCCTAATTAAGACCGGGGACCCAATGATCAGAATGGGCTTTCGGGGTATACTACGTTTTTATTGAGATTGGGACTCTTTTGACTCTAATTATTGTTGAATTCTGCTCAACATCCGAGCCAGACATCAATGAATGCAGAACACAAGCGTTCCAGAAGATAGGCAAAATACCAACAGACGTGCGTGGCATCAACAGCTACCCTTACTTTCTCGACTCGTCAGGAAGGCCCGATTTGAGCTCCCTCAGCGACAAAACATCTCTATAGACTTTGGCACCAAGCCAGACATTCAGCAAGAGTGGAGTTAGAGGTTTCTCGACCATCTGCTCCTATGCAATTCTCAGGACTGTCAAGTGGTCCAGACCGTGACGCCGCCATACCCAAAATATTGAACCTT